ATCTAGCATATGGTATGCTTGGCAAACACTCCCCAGATACGTCGCTGAGGCCTTCGAGGACTACACCTACGTTGGCTCCTCTTAGTCAAATCTAACCCTCAGCTTGAATGATACAACTTCTGACTTCATTTAGCTTGGATAATGCAACTCCGATATTGTTCTTCAGGGTGAGTAGAATCGGACCCTTGTTCAGAACTTGGCATGTCTTAAAAAAAAAGAGGACCTCACGGTGAGCGCCAAACTGTTAATGTTAAATATCACACAGCCAATTAGATCCAGGCTAGGATTGATTCTGGCCCGGAACTGGATTGGTTTCCCTCGAGTCCTCGTCGGGACGTGGTAAGGGAGAGTGATGAAGGGACCGCTTCCTTCTTTGACTTTATACCTAGGTCTTGAACGGGGGATTGATGTCCACGTTACACTGATAAGAACCCGTAAGAGGACGGGGATTGGTTCCCCCGTGGTTCCTCCGACGATCAAGTTAGTGAAACTCGAGTGGGAAATGGGAAGGTCAGGAACCAATACGATTCTTGAAGTGATAATATCTCTGATACGAGTCGTCGTGCGAGCACCTTTGATCGCAGAATTATTAAAGATGAGTTGAAAAGAGAATGACAGAAACATAAGAATAATTCAGTATGTGACGAAGAAAAATCCCTTCTCTAGATTAATTATGAGAATTAAATAGTTTACAATCTCTCACAATCTCATTAGAATTGAGGAACAATCTCTCTCAACTCTCAAAATACAATCTAATCTCTCTTGATTACATCTGATCGATTAGAAACCCTAGACAATCCCTTATATAGGTGTAACAACGTGGATGGTAAAGTAGTAAATAATCAAACCTAAACCCTACAAGAATTCGTACAAACAGAAACCCAAACGAACCAGGAAACCATCGATGAGTCGACTCATGTGCATATATGAGTCGACTCATGACACATGGGTCGACTCATGACAGTCATGAGTCAATTGGTCAGAAACTTCTAACAAAACGATTGGGTTTCGTGAGTCAACTCATGACAGACATGAGTCGACTCAACCTAATGAGTCGACTCATGTACATGTATGAGTCGACTCACGGGCTGAAAACTGGATGCTTTAATTCTTCGATTCGCCGTCTCGTTCCACCCTTCAACTTGTGTTCCACTGTATTGTTTTACACCTCTATTCTCAAGTTATCATGAGAATCATCTATCCTCAAGCTCCCATGAGGATCGCTAAGTTCTGAAGAGAAGATACACACGTATCAATCTTTGCCCAGAGGATCTAAGTGAGCTCCTCTGTCTTGACAAAGAACTGTGTGTTTTTGTTTTTGTGTCATGTATGCTTTTTGGGGGGTTTTAGATTGCGAACATGTCCTCCTTTAGCTATGATGAATGGCATCTGTATATAAAGAGGACGTCAATGGCAAATTGGTCACTTCGGGCATAAAAAATAACGGTGACAAAGTGTGAGCTGGAAGATGAGTTGTCTTTTGCTCTACATGTGTCGGCTGGTGATTGAAGAGAAAGTCACTTCGACACGGGAGAGAGTGTCTCCGTATTTTTCGAAAAATAGTTGATGGTGTAGCAGAAGACACGTGGACATACTGAATCGTCCCTCGCTTTACATGTGTCGACTGACGACTGGAGGGGAAATCACTTCGGCATAGGATAGGGTGTCTCCGTATTTTTCGGGAAGTGATTGACAAGTCGTGGAGGTACGTGGGCAGCTGACAAGTCAAGGAGATCATTAGGCTAAAATCTGGACAAGGTTTATCCAACATGGACTGAAATGTTGATATATGCTCTGGGGGAGAGGCTTGAGGCCTAGTCCGAGTCCTTAACTTAGTCGACAACAGGGAATGTCCCTCAAATCGTCTCCGAGAATTGCCCAGTGAGTGGTCGAGTGCCCTAAGTGGGTCGCCCTCGGCGATAGGGTCAACTGACCCCGCCTGTCGTGTCGCCATGAGAGAAGGTCAACTTGATGAGTCGACGGGATCGAGGCTTTTGTTGGTTTGAGGTTATTTTGCTAGAACTCTTATTGTATCATTTTACAAATACCTGTATGTTGGGTGAGTGAACACCATAACAAAAATAATAATAATAACACAGAGATTTATGTGGAAAACCCCCTAAATGAATTTGGGGTAAAAACCACGAGCAAGAATAGAAAAATCTACTATGAAGAGAAACTTTGGAGTTACAATCTCTCTTTACAAGGAGAAACTCTCTCTATTTCTCTCTCTTCTATATAAGGAGTTGTTTCTGAGAGAGATTTTTCTTGAAGAGTTTGGGACTATTTATATGCAGTTGAAATCAATATGCATTAATTTTCTAATATTATTTTACTGTGCACTTTTCCTCATTTTAAAATATGCAGCTACTTTTAATGCGAATTATTTAGCGGGGCCCACTCACTTTTTTCCCTTTTTAAGATTTTCGGGTGACAAAAACTACCTTAATTTTAGTCTAAATTGATACTTACCACCTTTTTTAATGTAAACCACTTATATTTGCTTACATCTTCTCAATGTCACGTCTAATCGACTTTTCTGTTGAAAAAGAAGTGATTCCAAAAATACCCTCACCCAAGCACATGAAAACCACGTGTCCTATTTAATTATAAAAAATAAGGAGTTTTTTTCAATATTAGTCCCTTAAATCTTTTATAATTTGGTATTAACCCCACAAATCTATCATATTTTAAAATTAGAAATCGACATTCTCCTCACCGAAGAGGGTTGTGGGACATCCTCCTCACCGGAGAGGGTTGTGGGGAGGTGGGGATCATCAATATCTTGCTCCTTAGCTAGGGTTTGTGGATTGGAGGGTGGGAGGGGGAGAAGATTAAGGAGAGGTGAGATTAGGGTTTGGGGGAGGATTGAGGGAGAGTCTTGTTTATAAATTGGAGGGCGTGATAGAGGGAGGGAAGATTGAGGGGAGATAAGATTAGGGTTTGGGGATTAGGTTAGGGTTTGTAGATTTGGGTTTTGAAATCCATGGTCATTTGAGAGAGAAAGAAGAGGGGTAAGGGGATTTGAGGCTAATTTCAAAATAGGACTAATATCTAAAAAATGCTTAAGTTTATAATTAATTGGGAAACACGTGAAGTTCACTTGTTTAAGATGAAGGCATAATGGGTATTTCACATTTCTTTTGAACAAGATTTAGCATTTTGTGTGACATTGAGAAGATGAGCAAATATAGGTGGTTTACATCATATCATATCATACTCCCTTTAAAAGTGGGAGTTCTTGAAAAAATTTTATTGGTCAATTTTATCCCTAATCCTTTTTAATATTAACATTCTTATCCTAATTATAATTGGTTATCAACTAAAGCTATTAACTTAAAATTAAACTTCTGAATTAAAGCTCATTTCATTCAAAACTAATTAATAAAAAATTGATCTAATTAGAATTGGTTGACAACTAAAGAGTATAAGGAAGCTTAAACTTCCGAATTAAATCTCTCTCCATTCAAAACCAATAATAAAAAATTTATCTAATTAGAATTGGTAAACAACTAAAGAATAGAAAGATACTTAGAGCACATTAGCATTGTAAACATAATATGCATTGCATGTGTAAATATTAACCAATTGATTGATACCAAATTATGGAATTAGTTAATTATCAACAAAAATTAATTGATTGAAGTATTTTTTGTAGTAGTCCCTTAAACCTTTCATAGTTTGAAATTAGTCCATTAAAGCATTGAAATTATTATTGTTAGGTACCTCAATCTTAAGTTATTTGAAATTAGTCATTCAAATTAATGGTATAATTAGCAATTTGAGAGACTAATTTCCCTCTAATTGCTTTTTTTACTCTTGATTGGAGAAGCTAATATCAAAATAACTTAAGAATTGCGGATGTAGTAGCTATTTTAATAATTTGATGAATTAATTTTAAAATAATAAGAATTGAGCAACCTAATAGTTCAATGTGATTATCTTTGCAAACTTATGGAGAGATTTTCTTAAATGATGATAGGTTTTCTTATTCTACAGTCATTAGGGATTAAGATAGAAGATTTTTCTTCCCTTAAATGATGATAGGTTTTCTTATTCTACAGTCATTAGGGATTAAGATAGAAGATTTTTCTTCCCTTTTATTTTTTACTTCATAAGATTCTTATTCTACAGTCATTAGGGATTAAGATAGAAGATTTTTCTTCCCTTTTATTTTTTACTTCATAAGAATTTTACGTCATCTCTTATTGTTATATTTGAGGCATTGAAGAAATTGATTGCTATACCTATATGAGTGAATAATCTTTTCAAATAATGTGTAGCTTACGTTGCTCATGGTTTATAAGCAAATAATCTTTTCCAATAATTTGTAGCTCACATTGCTTATGGTTACAACGACACATAAAATGAAAGCTGAAGGTACATAAATGTAAGTATTAAGAAAGTTCACAGATAATATTACATCATCAGGTTGAGATTTAAAAGAAACATTTTTACAACCAAGTTAACAAATAACCACGTGCAATGCACGTGTATCTCTCCTAGTAAAAACAAAGGCAGCAAGTATTAATTTGGTCTAAAATTAAGGTGATTTCATGTAAAAACCCTAAAAATTACAACAAAATTAACCCTGTTACTCTCTTTAAGATACCGATATGCAAACACAATATTTACTGACTGCAAACAAAAAATTTTAAATTAATATAATACAATTTAATGAATAAATAAATAAATAATATTGTCACATCGGCTTTTTCTAGCTTTTTAATAAATTGTTTGCAAACAAACATTTTATTTGACTTACATGCTAATATAGATGTACTATGTCACTTGCAAAAGAAATATTTTTAATTTCACATTATTTAACTGCATTTTCAATTTACCAATTATTCCCTGCACCAGTGATATCCAGCTACTGAATCAATGATATTGACTGGGGACTTCACCAGCTAGATTATGTTCTTCAGATTTACTGGGTGAATAATGACCATAATTTCATCAAAAGATCTCAACAGTAAATAGATGAAGGAAACACTTACAGTTGGGACAAAGAATCTGGAAATTTTATCTGCCAGTTTCTGAACAGGCGCCCTTGCAAGTTGAGCAGCTTCCACCAGCTGAACTATCTGAGATAAAGCAGTCTCTGACCCAACATGAGTAGCCTTAACTAGTATAAATCCATTCTCATTCACTGTACCACCAATAACCTATTTATAATATTTAAACAAAATGATGCATTAGCACTCAGATAGTCACTGAAATGCAACAAATCCCGAAGCTATGATATTAGTAGCAGTACCTTATCTCCTGGTCTTTTCGCAACAGCCCTTGATTCTCCAGTGATCATGCTCTCATTCACATGACTCTGACCCCTTATAACAACTCCATCAACTGATACTTTGGCTCCTGGCATTATCTTAATTACATCATTTCTTTGTAACAATTGAGTACTGATTTCCTTCTCTGATATGACATTCCCTTCCACATCTAGAGTAAGCAGAAAAGCTGTTTCAGGAGCAAGATCCGTAAGCTTTGACAAAGCATCTGATGTCTTCCCTTTTGCGATCACCTCCAAATATTTACCCAATAGAATAAATGATATCAACATGGCACTAGTTTCAAAAAAATCTTGTCCTTCAAATGAATTAGAGGTTAAAGCTTTGATCACGATATATACAGAGTAGAGATAAGCAGCATTAGTTCCCATTGCGACAAGAACATCCATGTTAGAGGAGCCTCTTCTTAGTGCACGATAAGATCCCACGTAGAATCTGAATCAATCACCACAGACGCAACCATGAGATAATCAGTCTAGGAGACCATTTAAAGTCAACATGACATTTAATTTTGAAAACAATATGGCATCTGTCTGCATTAAAAAGTCTGAAGTAAGTCATACTTTGGGATATATTCTTAATGCATAGACACAGTAAACACATATAAGCAGATTTTGTATTCAGAGTCAAAGTCAAGCCGTTCCCTTATATGATGTCATCAACCAGGGAGCATAACTCTCGCCCTGAATGCAAAGGATGTACATCAACAAGAAGAAGAAGAAGAAGGAGAAGAGACAAATACAGGAAGGGGGGGAGGGACTTCTAAAGATTGACTATCACATGTAGCTGCCAGCCTGATGCCAAGCCTTCAGTAAATTCCACATTTTTACTCAAACAACTATGGTTGAACCGGAAGAGATAAAACCAGAAGAAAACTTGGAGTACAAAAATAAAAATTTGTAATGAAATGTTCAGATAAAAGGGAGCTTCAGACTTATTATACTTTTAAAAAGGGTTTATATGAAGAGGGAAGATAAATAGGATTTTTATAGCAAATATAATGTATGGTGAAAGAGGTAAAGTGAAAATCATAATGTTTGATTGTGGACGAAACATGGTAATAATTAAAAGGAGAAAAACACCATTACCAGGCCATTAACAAAACATATCAGCTGATGACTAACACCCACAAGGGATATATGTGGCCTCTTGGCATTAGTATTTCCAGGTTCTAGGGTATATCTAATACTGCTATGAAAGGATAGCAGAAGAATCAAAATACTATGAACATAATAGTAGCGATAAGATATTCAGGATTTTACCTCCAACCAATTACAAACTGCACAGGCGTGCAAAGGATGCATCTTAGTACCATCCCAATGGTTAGATTGTTGTATAGCTTATTATTCAACCAATCTCCGTATGGAGAAATCATCGGAAGTACCATTGAGAACATAACCACAGGAACTGAGAACAGGCAGCTCCAAAGGAACTGGTTCCTGTAGATTCTAGTTTCTTCCTGCTGGTCCATATCTCTACGTCTTGGAGGAGTGTACAAGCTTGCATGGTAAAAACCAGGGCTTTGGCCAGCTTCTTGAATGCATTGTATTAGTGACCTCGGACCAGTGAAATCAGGGTCATAGGAAATGGTGACTTTTGAACCTGCTAGATCCATTTCTACATGATTAACACCTGCAATTGCTTCAAGAGATGACTGAATGAGAATGGCATCTTTTGGAGAAGCGAGGCCTTCAAGCTTTAGATGCACCTTGTTGGCACTATCTCCTGAACTAATGAGTTCAGAACCAAAACCAGCATCTTCAATGGCCTCCATGAGGTGACTAGTAGTGGTTGCATTAGGATCATAGTGGATCTTGGCTTCTTCTAGTGCAAGTCCGACAATGGCCTTTTTAACTCCATTGACCATACTAAGAGCTCGTTCTACAGCTTCAGAACAACTGGTACAAGCCATTCCTTTAATTCTCAATCGGCAAACTGCGATATTTTGATCGGGAAATTCATCAACCTGATAGCCCAAGTCTTCAATGGATTCTTTTATTGTTTGTGCCTGAGAGATATTTGGCGTAAACATCATTTTTCAGTTAAGAGACAGGAATTTCCTCAAAAAATGTATAGAGACAGGAAATGGTAATATATCTTCTGGAAATTAACTATAACATATAATGACAGGAGTGAAACAATAACCCACCCTGCTATCTGTTAGGAATCTTGACCACAAGATTAGTTTATTTTGATGATAACAAATATTATATATTGTGTGTATTATGTGTTAACATTTGTTTTGTAGTATCAGAGCTATATCAACAATTATTTTCAAAGAGATACTCAAGACATAGATGAGTTCAAGGCAAAATGAAGCAAAGAAAAAAATATACTTTATTGTCAAAATGTAATTTTATATTTTCTTTGCTTAGAAATTTGTACAAGCCTTGATCACTCACAAACATGCACACACATAGTGTTAGAACACACTAACACATGCTTAATGTGTTGGTTAACAATAGAAATCCCCTATGTTAGCCATTAGAGTTTATAAATATTGGGTGAGTCTTAAAACATTTCATTTACACCCCTTAGCAATTAGAATCTGGAAAAACTCAAAAGATCAAAGTTGTAGGTCTCTTCAAGAGATTTCCAACAAATCTTAAATCACCTCATTCCGATGTCGGATGAGAAAGTTACAGTCATTTCATGCAGGGGGATTAAAATTTTTATATCTTAATAACATATATTTGTCATCATCAAAAAGGGGGAGAATGTTAGGAATCTTGACCCCAAGATTAGTTTGTTTTGATGATAACAAATATTATATGTTGTGTGTATTATGTGCTAACATTTGTTTTGCAGTATCAGAGCTATATCAACAATTATATTCAAAGAGATACTCAAGACATAGATGAGTTCAAGGCAAAATGAAGCAAAGAAGAAGATATACTTTATTGTCAAAATGTAATTTTATATTTTCTTTGCTTAGAAATTTGTACAAGCCTTGATCACTCACACACATGCACACACATAGTGTTAGAACACACTAACACATGCTTAGTGTGTTGGTTAACAATAGAAATCCCCTATGTTAGCCATTAGAGTTTATAGATATTAAGTGAGTCTTAAAACATTTTATTTACACCCCTTATAAATTAGAATCTGGAAAAACTCAAAAGACCAAAGTTGTAGGTCTCTTCAAGAGCTTTCCAACAAATCTTAAATCACCTCATTCCGATATCGGATGAGAAAGTTATAGTCAAAATACTAAACAGAAAAATTCCAGAATCTGAGTTTACAGTGTAGTCGACTACTATGCCTTGTAGTCGACTACTGAGCAATTTTCTGACTTCACGGAGTCTGTTTAGACTCAGTGTAGTCGACTACTATGACTTGTAGTCGACTACAGATGCAGTTTTTTCAGATTTCAGGTTTTGAATAAGTGACTGTTTATAGTTGTTTTGTGGACGTTAATTGGGTTTAAAATTATGTTATTTCAGAGGCTATAAATAGGTTTAAACATCAGAAAACAAGCACCAAGTTTTGCACTTGCAAGATCAAACATTTTGTGCATATTCACTCTCTAATTTTCCAGATTTTCATGCTAAGTGTTTAGAAAAAGAGAGTTTCTGATATTGCCTTGGTTTCAATCATTCTTAGAGATTGTATAGGCAATATTCAGAGAGTTAAAAGAATCCTAAGCCACTGCAGCACTTCACTACACATTCAAGGCTTATAGGATCAATTGTGTTCTTGCTTCAAAAAGGATTTCTCTCGGGTTTGAGAGGGTTGATCTCTTGGTTTAGAGATTGGGTGGCAATTGGCATGGTCTTGTCAATTGGTGTTGCAATTTGCATGGTCTTGCAAATTGGTCAGGTTTGCTTTTGATTTTGTAAGGTTTCAAAATCATAGTGGAAACTCTCAAGCGGGATTTGCTTAAGGACTGGATGTACACTGGGAGGGTGGAACCAGTATACATGCTTGTGTTTGTGATGTTTATTTTCTGAGATTGCCATTCTTTCTTTGCAATTTATAATATACTTTGCAAACTCACCCTCTAGTGTTTAAGTGTAAAGCTTCCGCAGATTTTTATAAGAGCGCACTCTATTCTTAAGGGTCACGATCCTACACTTGATATACATAAGCAAAACATGACCCTACATTTGGTATCAGAGCAAGGTGAAAGATGACATCAATAAATACATCACAATTCAAATAGGGATATTCCACACAGCGACCACCTCTATTCAATGGCACGAACTACAACTATTGGAAGTGTCGGATGAAGATCTACCTCCAATCTCTTGGCTACGACCTTTGGAACATTGTAGAGACCGAATTCACAAAGCCAACCACTCCATATACCGAATGGTCAGTTGTTCAAAGGACTAAAGTGAATTTGGACTCAAAAGCAATGAATGCACTATTTTGTGCTTTGGACAAGAACGAGTTCAATCGCGTGTCTACTTGCAATTCAGCCCATCAAATTTGGCATACATTAGAGGTAACACACAAAGGTACAAATAAAGTTAAAGAATCTAAAATATCTGTTCTTGTGCACAGGTTTGAGTTATTCAAAATGAAAGAACAAAAAGAGGAATCCGCTCACATGTGCTTCATGGCACAAGAAGATGAGGTATGCAATAATGAAGAATTATTAGATGCTTTCAATGAATTATATGAAACATTTTTGAGATTAAAGGCTTCACATAATTTTCTTAAAGGTGAAAATAAAAGATTACTTGAAGAAATTTCTGATTTTAATTCTTCTACTATTTCTAATTCTCAAGTAATTGAATTGAAAGAGGAAAATAAATCCTTGCTTAAAGAAAATCATATTTTGACTAATGAGAATGTTTATCTAAAATCAGAATGCAATGATTTAAAAATCCGCATTAATGTTTTAGATAAAGATATTTCTTCTATTAAATTAAAATATGATGATATATGTTTGAATGTTAGTAAATTCAATAAAAGTAAAGAGAATTTGAATAATTTGCTCTCATTTCAAAAATCTTCAAACAATCATTTTGGCATTGGATTTGTTCCTAAGTATTTTATAAAGAATGATTATGTTTTGAAGAATAATAATAAGAATATTCATGCTAAACAAAATAAGTATATATGGATTCCTAAGAATTTGAATATTCATGATAGGAATTATTATATTTCATCTTATATTTATGAAGTTTGCAATTCAAAGAATTACACTTATGTTAACAAATGGAAACCAAATTCCAAGTGGATTTGGATTCCTAAGGGCTAATCCTAATGATATAATATAAAAGGGTACCAAAGTGCTTGATATTTTTATTAAGGTACCCAAGAAAAGAAATTTTTAATTAGAATTATGTTTATTTCTTTTTGCTAATGACAAAGGGGGAGTTATATAGAAAATTTTAATGCTTTGATGCAGGGGGAGTAAAAGATTTTATTTAATGATTTCATGCAGGGGGATTAAAATTTTTATATCTTAATAACATATATTTGTCATCATCAAAAAGGGGGAGAATGTTAGGAATCTTGACCCCAAGATTAGTTTGTTTTGATGATAACAAATATTATATGTTGTGTGTATTATGTGCTAACATTTGTTTTGCAGTATCAGAGCTATATCAACAATTATATTCAAAGAGATACTCAAGACATAGATGAGTTCAAGGCAAAATGAAGCAAAGAAGAAGATATACTTTATTGTCAAAATGTAATTTTATATTTTCTTTGCTTAGAAATTTGTACAAGCCTTGATCACTCACACACATGCACACACATAGTGTTAGAACACACTAACACATGCTTAGTGTGTTGGTTAACAATAGAAATCCCCTATGTTAGCCATTAGAGTTTATAGATATTAAGTGAGTCTTAAAACATTTTATTTACACCCCTTATAAATTAGAATCTGGAAAAACTCAAAAGACCAAAGTTGTAGGTCTCTTCAAGAGCTTTCCAACAAATCTTAAATCACCTCATTCCGATATCGGATGAGAAAGTTACAGTCAAAATACTAAACAGAAAAATTCCAGAATCTGAGTTTACAGTGTAGTCGACTACTATGCCTTGTAGTCGACTACTAAGTAATTTTCTGACTTCACAGAGTCTGTTTAGACTCAGTGTAGTCGACTACTATGACTTGTAGTTGACTACAGATGCGGTTTTTTCAGATTTCAGGTTTTGAATAAGTGATTGTTTATAGTTGTTTTGTGGACGTTAATTGGGTTTAAAATTATGTCATTTCAGAGGCTATAAATAGGTTTAAACATCAGAAAACAAGCACCAAGTTTTGCACTTGCAAGATCAAACATTTTGTGCATATTCACTCTCTAATTTTCCAGATTTTCATGCTAAGTGTTTAGAAAAAGAGAGTTTCTGATATTGCCTTGGTTTCAATCATTCTTAGAGATTGTATAGGCAATATTCAGAGAGTTAAAAGAATCCTAAGCCACTGCAGCACTTCACTACACATTCAAGGCTTATAGGATCAATTGTGCTCTTGCTTCAAAAAGGATTTCTCTCGGGTTTGAGAGGGTTGATCTCTTAGTTTAGAGATTGGGTGGCAATTGGCATGGTCTTGTCAATTGGTGTTGCAATTTGCATGGTCTTGCAAATTGGTCAGGTTTGCTTTTGATTTTGTAAGGTTTCAAAATCATAGTGGAAATCTCAAGCGGGATTTGCTTGGGGACTGGATGTACACCGGGGAGGTGGAACCAGTATACATGCTTGTGTTTGTGATGTTTATTTTCTGAGATTGCCATTCTTTCTTTGCAATTTATAATATACTTTGCAAACTCACCCTCTAGTGTTTAAGTGTAAAGCTTCCGCAGATTTTTATAAGAGCGCACTCTATTCTTAAGGGTCACGATCCTACACTTGGTATACATAAGCAAAACATGACCCTACACTATCAATCAAAATAGTGCTGGTTTCGTAATGACTCTAGGTTAAAAGGACTCATTAAATGATTATCTGATTATTTTTATGACTGGTCGTTAACAAAATGTCAGCCTTCGATCAATAATTGCCAAAGTAGCCGCAGAAGGCAGTTAAATTACAGATGTAGGTTTAAGAAAGCTACTATTTTTTGTAGACTTTTAAACAGTTTCACGTGAAAAACAGGAAAAGCTCCACGATAGGAGGAAAAAGCCTCAACAAAGGTAAGGAGAAAACAAGACCCAAGTCAATAATTCCTCCGGAAATACATTCACTTCACAACTAATTGAAGCGTATACTTCATATAAACACACAGAATATCTCAAACTTCAAATTAACAGATATAAAAAACGTGGTGACAATTATGACACACTTACATTGATAACCTCAGGGTTGTAGATGACAACAGCCTGACCCTGAAGTGGTGACACTCCAATATTCATGATTCCCTCCATATTTCCCAAAACAGATTCAATGGAGACTGCACAAGAAGCACATTTCATGCCCCCAACTTTGAACATGACCTTTCTTGTATTGTTGTCACCTCTTGCAGAAGGTTGTTGTTGATTGATACCGGTTGAATTTTCTAAGTGCTTCAGAAGGGGTGTTTTTAGATTACCTTCTCCATTGGGTTCCATTTCCTTTTCTACATTTCACAAGGGAAACGAAAAACAGATGTCAACAAGTGAAATTATACAGCTCAAAAGACAAGTTTTACCCCCACAAAGGAGATGAACATCCAGGTGACTATTTGAACCAACTAACCTTACCATTGTACAGTGCAAAAAAGTTCTCTAATAAATTATAAAGTACTTAAACGTCTGTTGGTCACTTTTACATTCAACTTACACGTTATGACGTAAATAAAAAAAACTCAACAAAGCCAGCATCAACACAGGAAGGATGTAAACTAGAAAAGAACTTATTAAAAATGTCACATTTTATCCAATGCCAAAAATCCAAGTCTGACACTTAAACCATTGCTCAATCTCATATCATCAACCGTTTTTAAGAATAATAGAAAATACACATTATTCAAGGGTAAATATACTTCAAGGAAGATGCTTAAATGTATAAATAAAGTACCCTTTGCATCCCATTTCCCATATAAATTCCGGATATTGAAGGTCATAACTATGTCAAATTGCGCTGGGGAAACAATAACTTTTCTGAATACAGTAAATTCAACAGCTGATGAAGAAGGTAACTCTCAAATCAAGCTCCAGACAAATGCTAAAATCCTAAATTTCTTTAAATCAACTGATTAATGTCTGAGTAACTAATTTCCAGACTCCGGTCCCAAGTTTCATCCAGCATATAATAGAGATACCCACTAACTAAGAAATCATGAAGAGAAAAAAAAAATTCAAATTTCACATCCCGTGATGATCAGCAGTACAAACCCTGAATATTAATCAAATAGTCACAATCGCATCATAAACCCTTGAAATCAACAAATCAGTCAACTACACCAACAAAAAACGCAGTAAACTCAGCAGAACACACTCCTAAGCAAAAGTCAACGAAAACGAAGGAAAATCTAAAATCAAAACCAAAACGAGCCGCGAAACCCTAGAAACAAAGATGACTACCTTCAAAATCTCCAATCCTCCGATCAAACGATCGCCAGATACGATCCAGGGGTTTGTATTGGGAAGCGAGAAAGCGGCTAGGGTTTTCAGCTAGAGAGAGAAATGGGGAGTCGACAACCGCCTCTTTTTTTCTCCGCAATCGAACTTGTCCCCTTTATAGCGAGCCCAGCGCACTGCTCCCTCTTTGGTTCTTTTCCCCTCCTTTTTTTTAAAAAATTCTTTTGAATTTTTGAACGCGTAACGTCTCTAGTCTCTTCAATAATTCCGAACGTCCCGTATGATACTTTCCATGCGAGAAGTATAAAATTCTATCCAAACACAATATGGATATTTCATCTCCCCTTCGTTTGCCTCACATTGTTTGGCACTATGCAGAGCAATACTGATAAGATTTGTACTCTAGGATGTACAAATGATCATGTGCATTAGAAATGAAACTTGTCATATCTATGTTTGCTTCGGATGTACATATATAAATTATACATGATTTATAGTCTATATGTGCCAAGGTGAATGTGGATACAATCGAATGGAAGAAAACATACACATGTAAATAGTTGATACGATTAGAACATATGTAGTTGATAAATTTATAGAGTGTGTGCTTAAAAAAATGTTTAAGTAAAGCGAAATTTCTCAAGCTAGAGTCAAGCAAAAAAATTCCACGTGTGTAAAACACTAAGGCAAGCATTTGGATTATCCAAATTGGTCCATGTGATATTTAGTATCTGTATTTGTATCATATCGCAATTACAAATATGATTTTTTTTTATCCTAGAAACCACCTTAGAAACATGGTAATTATACGAAAATCACTGTTAAATTTTAATTTATACATAAACCATCTTTAAAGTGAGATTTGTTACAATCAACCACCTCCTAGTTATATTTTTACTAAAAATCCAAAATAAGTTTTAAAATTCCACGTTCAATGTACTTGACTTGTATCCTAACAATATCTAAACAATAATAAAATAAGTGATGCGCCTTAAATATGAGTTTTAAAGGCTATTTTCAGATTTCTAGTAAATTTTTTGACTGAAAGGTGGTTGATTGCAACAACAACCCACTTTGAGATTGGTTACACAAATTAAAATTCAAAGATTATCTTCCATATGCTCCTATTTCCACCAGCACAAAGAGGATTCCGCACAGAAGTTTTATGCAGATGTCGGCAGAGAAACGGTCTCATGTCCGTAGTGGGAAAGGACAACAGAGACGTGAGGGGAGCTGTGGATGGTGTTGGGTTGGCATTATTCCGTCGGATCCGACCCAAACCTCCGCTTCAGTCCAATTAGTTTTTAATTGGGTTTCGAATCTTCGTCTTATCTTTAATTTGTTTTTTTCTTTTCAAAAAAAGGGGAAAGTCCAAGGCCTGTTTTTGGATCGTGTACCAAACTCGAAAGCAGCAACTTCTGCTTTGCCTTTCGTGATTAATTAATATGAGTTTAAGTTAAGGAACTAATTAGTACCACACAACCTCTTGCGAATGGGATGTGATTGCGTTAACCGCCTAATAGAATAAACTATTCAAAGCCGTTTGTTTTAGGAATTCTTAGATGTTTTCTCTGTCACCATTGTTTGCATAAACTACTATGAGAGTTTGCATAAATTACTAGGAGTTTACGAATTCCACGGAGTCATGATGTTGTCATCTTGTCATGGTTTACTCTATCCTAATTGTTTGAGCTTCGTTGGAGGTAGTTGCCTAGTTGATCCTTACTAGTATTCATCCCGTGCTAAGCACGTCATCTTTACAGATTATTTTTGTGCACATTTTTTACCATCTCAATTTTTTGGTTTGCCACGAGAAATTTATCATAAACATATTTGAAGTCCATCATATATAACCAATGAGGATATGTACAAACTTGAGTACAACATTTGATATTGGATACAATATTTAGAATTTGGTTAGGTTTGGTTGAAAAAATAAGTCTAATATTAATTCTTTTTCCCTTTTTCCCCTCTACGATTATTGGAAAACCCACTTAACCAAAATATCAAAAAATCCCCCTTAAATTCAAAAATTATCACAAAACTACCATTTTGATATTTAGTTGAAGATAATTCAGTGTGTATACTAAAGTTGCACCGACAAGTTGAACTGAGTTTCACAACTGGTTTAATAATCAAACTGCGGGAGTAAAAATAGAAATTTGGATGTCACAGATCCAAAACATTTAACCAAGATAGGTATCTTCTGACCCTTGTCAGATTTCAAGTACACAAAGGCCTAGCTGTCTTCAAATTCGCTCCAGCCTTCAATTCCCACTTCATGTCCTTCTAAATTTAATAAAAACCAATCAATATAGTTCAAGTCCAAATGCAATTATAGGTTGACTCCAATCAAATATCAAATCCCGAAAATTACATGTTTTACGATATCAAAATTCACTTTTTTCAAAATTTCAATCAATAGAACCAAAATAATTAAGGACCATAGAGATAGAGAGAGATTGAAAGCACCAGTTGGGGATTCTCAAATAAAGTGCTGGGTCTCGTGGCGATGAGTGAGTAGCCAGCGACCAAGAACGAAGCGTGCACAGCGAAAGCCATCTTGTCGCTAGGGTTTCTGAAATTAGTGCGCGAAGCCCTAATCACCGCCATCACTGAGTTGTCTGTCGCCATTGAGATTTCTCTGGATCAAAATTTCCCCTTTAACTTGATAACCCCAAAGTATTCAAATTGACATTAACTTGACAATTTGATACCCAAAGCCCTAACTTTGTTCCTGATTTTCACCAAACTCAAAAAACTAAAATTGGTTAAGAAAATGATAACTTTTACTGTTCACCATCTGGTTTTCCTTTAGTTATAACTCATCAACTCACCATGATACCCATCAACTCTATGCATATAAAGGGTATCAACTCTATGCATAACATAAATAAATATTCTCTTGCTTGGCCCAAGACTGTAAACTATGCCATTTATGTTAATATCCTTCACAATATGCCTAGCACATTGGGCTAAATTAGTGACAGGAATCTTATACTACAAATCCAATAAATCGTTAGGCTTTAAGTCATTTATAACATCTTTCAACTCCCATAAAAAGAATAAATCTATAATATGATAGCCTTTAAATTGAACTTTACCACCAACATATTTCAGATTCCGCTCATCCCATGTGAACCTACCACCACGGTGATACTCCACTATGAAAAAATCATACATCCTGCAATGACACAACCACACATGCTTCATCAATAAACTTAACAATAAACTAAATAATAAGAAAATAAACTATCAAATAATATTAAACTACATTACACATGTATTCATCTTTAAATGTACATTTCTAAAAAATATTCACAGGCAGCTTCAAATCAAATTAAAAGACCAAGTATATTTCTAGTCCCAAAAGCATATAAACTACACAAAACTAACTTGAGAAATAACCTTACAGATACTGCATGTATCATATTTACATGTCCCATTATTTTTCATGCCAACTAAAACATACACCAGAGAACTGTATAGTGGGTGTTCTTCCCATCTTCAGATAACAAAGAAAAAGAACTGCTTTTAGCAAGAGAGCCTACACATATTATCGAACTCCTACTCTATTTTATCTATCTCAAATTTTCCAAATAAGCTTTTCTAAAAAAACCAATTAAGCTAGTTCTTTGTTGATTTCCCAAACTTTTATTTATCTAAATCAGATTTTAGATAGAGAGAAACTTGCATTCTGTGTTCTATTATGAATTTAATATGCAATCATTTTTCGACTCATTTGCCTTAACATCTATTAAAATGATCTTCAAGTTTTAGTATAGATGCATGATTAAATATCATAATGGAGAGTGTGAATGTAAATATTTTGAGATGAGTTTCTATAGACATATTATATAAAGCATTCACCTGCTCTCCAAGGAGTTCACTCTCCACATAATCTGCAAGCTGAGGATCATTGAATCGACCTGCTACCTGCTCATTTGCACATAAGGCAAGATAAACGGCATCCAACCATCAAGAAAATTGGCAAGTAATTTATATAGTTTTCATCTGTTTAGTTTTCATATGTTTTATATAATATTTTCTATGTCAAAAGAAAAGAAAAACCCTTTCGTAAGAGGAGATTTGAAGCCGGCAAGTAATTTGATTAATAAAGAAGTCAAGTGATCTGTCTACATGTCCTCTTGCGTCCTATATTTTCACTCTTTTAGCAGATTGAGCCATCAAAATCCAATAAACATCGGACTTCTTTATTTCTCAAATTGGACTTACCAATTGGAACTTGTTGCTGCAGCCCAGGATTTTGGGGGCGTCTTCGTCTTCGTCGCGCGACACGTCATCAGCCCTAGCAGTGGCGGCGAGAGGAGAGGGGCGAGTGGCCATGGCGCGAGAGAGATCCGCTCCCCAGTACTAAAACCCTAGGAAATCGTCCTAATTTAGCCGCAAGATTGATTTTGATTTTGATTTTGGGGAAGAAAGAGAAATAGAGAGAGAAGGAATGAAGGCGGTGCTGATGCCGCTGCCGTTGCCGTTGAGTGAAGGGGGGGAAGAAAATATATGGATCGAAGATGGAGCCCTTACTGCTTCGACTGGGGATTCCCATCGCTCTCAAATTTTGAGTTTTTTTTTTAATTTTCTGAATCTTCTTTCTGAAGAAATATTGAGAGAGGAAGAGAGAGAATCGTGGGGAATCATGGACAACGTGGGAAGGGAAGTTTGAGGGGTTGCGATCACGTTTAGACGGTTGTGGGGAATTAAGAGGAAAATACGTGGATAATGAGAAAGATTACTGTTCACCTTAAGATTTTCCTTTAGTCATAAAGGAAAGTAGATATATGCAAAAAGTATTCTCTACTCTCAAATTATATAATTCAGAAGAAAATTAGCTTTTGAAGTCAAAAGTACAAAAAACCTTAGGTCTATTGATCGAAGGATACAGACATTAATTAGAAGAGGATTGATCAACTGTTATATGAATTATGAATGAAATTGGCATGCATTTATGGGTTTTTACATGCAAGTCATCTTAACTTTTGCTCAAATTATAACTTATCACCTTTTTTAAAATATAAACTAACTTAATTTGCTTACACGTTCTCGATGTCACATTTTTTTTATTATTTTTCTGTTTTAAACAAAACATGAAATTACTATTATACCTCTCAGTCTAACCAAAGAAAAAAAAAGAGGAGGAGGAGAGAGAGGAGAGGGAGGGGAGTGGGGGA